AAAAATGAGGGCTCTGTGAATCCACACTAAAGTAACCCAGGAGCGCGATGATGCCCAGGGAATGCAAGAATGTGGCTCAGCTAAAAACATGACACCAAAAACTGTACCCTAAGTCAGAGGTCAGCAAACTGGTCCAAGGGACACAGCCACACCCAGTCCTTACAGAGGGTCCTATGGCTGCTTCTCTGCTACGATGGCAGAGCTGAGTGCTTGTCTCAGAGACTAGATGGCCTGCAAAAGCCCATCATATTTACTATCTGATCCTTTATGGAAAAAGTCTGCCACCCTTGCCCTAAGATCACATTCGACTGTGTAGGACTTCTTACCAGAAATTTCTGGTTAAAAATTATATTAAAGAACGGTCTCTTCTGACATATCAAAGCTCTGCATAGTCACCACCTCTTCCCTAGTTACGAGGTCAGCCATGTTTGGATAGTTTCGATTATTTCTCTTGTAAAAATACACTTAAGGCAGGCTTCCCTGGTGGTGCAGTGGTTAAGAATCCGCCTGCCAATGCAGGGGACACGGATTCGATCCCTGACCCGGGAAGATCCCACATGCCACGGAGCAACTAAGCCCATGCGCCACAACTACTGAGCCTGAGCTCTAGAGCCCGCGAGCCACAACTACTGAGCCCGTGTGCCACAACTACTGAAGCCCGCGCGCCTAGAGCCCGTGCGCCACAACTACTGAGCCCGAGTGCCACAAGTACTGAAGCCCGCGCACCTAGAGCCCGTGCTCCGCAACAAGAGAAGCCACGACAGTGAGAAGCCCGTGCCCCGCAACGAGAAGAGCAGCCCCCACTCACCGCAACTAGAGAAAGCCCACGCACAGCAACGAAGACCCAACACAGCCAAAAAAATTAAAATTGATTAATTCAAAAAAAATACACTTAAGTAGACGAGAAAAGAAGTACTTATATTTTTCGAGAGTGCCTGCTATGGGCCAGGCACTTGACACGAGGTACCTTTTTCATTCTCACAACCCCAAGAGGTAGTTATTACTATCGTCCCAAAACACACGTGCTGATACTGAGCTCAAAGAACGCACTCCTAGCAAGTAGCTTCACTGCCCATCCTGCCTTTCTTCAAAGCTTCCTTTATACCTACTGCCTTAGGCAGAGGGCACACAGTTAATAAAATGAGCTGCTTCTAACCAGGCGGTATTATAGAACAGTTAAGAGCAAGTCCTATGAAGCCATCCTGTCTGGGTTTGGATCTTGACTCCACCTCTTCCCAGTGACCTCGGGAAAACTGGTTAACCTTGCTGTGCCTTAGTTTCCTTAACCGTAGGTCGCGAGTAATACTACAGTAATACCACTATAAGGTGTCTGTACTAAACGAGTTACACACATAAAGTACTTGGAATTGTGCCTGCTGCACAGTTCAGGGCTCTACCAGGGGAGTGTAAAATCGGGATTTAGAAGAATCAGGGATTTTTAGGTGAGAAAAACAAGAAATCTGTGAAGCAACACCTAAATCAAAGGCAGAGCAATACTACATTTTTGTTGAGTAAGACTGCCTTGAGAATCTAAGCACCACTGGTATCAATTTGCTAAAACCATAAGAGGACACCTCTAAAGTGGGATAATGGCCCACTCCTGGGCCCAGGAAAGAGGTGCTTTCAGCGCCTACAAATCTGGCAGTTTGAGAAGAAATGTTTGAAACATCACTTCCCACTTCCCCATAATAATGACTCCACTGTGATGTCATTCAAAGAGGCCATGTGGCTTTTGTTTGAACCACAAGAAGTATGGCAGCTCTTTCAGTCCAGCTCAATGGAAAGCAAAGTTGGTTTCGCTAAAGCCAACGTGATTACCCTTTAGACGGAGCACACACGTGGGAGACGTGAGTTCACAAGAAGACTAACTTACTTTCCACTACTCTAGGCAAGATCTTGAAAGCTGAAGACAACTCTGAATTTCCCACAGCTGAAATCCTGCTGTAGGAGAAACTCAAAATCCTGAAGTTGTCACAGACCGCAGGTCAACGGATAAACTCAGGAAAGCACCAAGAGAACTCTGAGTTCTAGAGGGTTTTTTTCTTATTCAGCATTTACTTTCCCCTTGGCTGGTTTGCAAGACGCATTTTTTACTTTTGTGAACCAAGCCTCTCATCGCCAGCCCCTACGTGGCTCCTGTGGGGTGAACTTTTTCTTCTGCTCCGAAGGTGGGCATGTGACTTAAGCCTGGCTGCCTCACTGTGACTGCTTCAAAACTAGAACACATGACTCAATGTGGGCCAATGACAGTCTGCTGAGGACATTTTCCTGGCACTACTGGAAAAGAGATGCATTCTGGGATGGATAAACCTGTGGCAGGTAAATCTGTCTTCTTCAGTTCCACTTGGCAAGAGCCTGAGAATGAAGGCAACAAAGAAGAAAACAGAGCTAAGGGGCAATGAACCGATACTCCAATAACCTTGTTCAAGCATCAGGGTCCAGTCATGCTTGAAGACAGCGGTACCACCAGACCTCCTCGTTATAGGAGCCAATTACCATCCTCCGCTTTTTCTGGCTTAAGCCAATTAAAGTTGGCTTTCTATATAGCTTGCAAACAGAAGTCTTCTGGCCAAATATATGTCAATAAATAAGTACTACGAAATAAACAAGCAACAGTTGCGGGATCACAGTGAGCATTCCGATTCCACTGAGCAAAAATGCCACGTCATGTGCAAAACCACAATAAATAATAGAGACGTGAATAAAAGCGAAAATTAGGGGCTTCCCTGGTGGCGCAGTGGTTGAGAGTCCGCCTGCCGATGCAGGGAACGCGGGTTCGTGCCCCGGTCCGGGAGGATCCCACGTGCCGCGGAGCGGCTGGGCCCGTGAGCCATGGCCGCTGAGCCCGCGCGTCCGGAGCCTGTGCTCCGCAACGGGAGAGGCCACAACAGTGAGAGGCCCGCGTACCGCAAAAAAAAAAAACAAAAAAAACAAAACCAATTCCACTGAGCAAAAATGCCATGTCGTGTGCAAAACCACAATAAATAATAGAGACATGAATAAAAGTGAAAAATAAGTAAGTGGTTTCCCACATAAGAGCCTGACTCCTAATATCCTTAGAAGAGAAAAGGGCTTTTGTAAAGGAATCAAGCTAGCTTCTAATTCTGATGATCTTCAGATTCTTTTCCTTAGAAATCGCTGTAGTTTGAAAGTGTGCTGTTTCTTTGCGGAGGTATATTTGTCCCCCCCATACACACACACACACACACACACACCCCTAACGCCAGCTCGCATAATAAAAGGAACTAAGATTTGAGGATTAGAGTGGAAATACTTTGCCTATTAACAAAAATTTGTGAGTGATCAATTGGAAAAATGCCCTCTTCCCTCATGACTCTAAAACTGATACATGTCACCAAAAATGTTGACAGCAATTTTATAGTTCTGGAGACTTTATAAAATAAATCATATTTACAGATATTTTCTAGCCATTCTATAGAGGAGTGAAATTAGCACCGGGATATTTATCAAAGGTAGCACTGGTGCCGAAGGTGAAATCAGAATTTAAATGTGGTTTCTGCCAAGATCTTTTTGTCTCGTTATCTAAAAACAATTAGGCAAGTGATCAGGAAGCAACAAAACAAAGATTCTACAATGAGGGATTTATAAGAGAACAAAGCCCAATAGCTCTAACCAGAATCATCATAATTGTAACGGACTGCTGCTTAATTTAAGATAAAGTATCACTGCTCTTGAGTATTAATATTTAGAAACAATGTAAAATATCTTTTTAAAAATTTTTACATACTTCCGTTTTTAAGGACCACATAATGCTCTTGAAGTAAAATATTACAGCGGGGAAGCTCTACAATGTTTTCACAGACTCCCATTCATTAATCAAAAAAATGATATTCACCAAAAGCGCTTGCAGGTAGCACGAGATCTATCTCTAAGGGTGGCTTTATTAAAATATTTGTACCCAGGTCTGTAAAGAAAGATGCAGAGATTGTTCTAATAATAGAAAGACCACACAAAACCAGAGACCTGCATGTTAACTCAGCCCGCCTCTATTTCCTGGGGCTTGAATGAGACAGAAAAGCCAGAGGCAAAGACTCCCCACTGCCCCCAGTCCCGACACCCACTTTGCAAACCGTCACGCACCTATGTATACAGGGGTTTTACAAGTGCACATGTTTGCTTCTTGCATGATAGATAAATATATTAAATATAATGTAGTATTATATTCACTCCATACATCAATGAGTCACTGATACTATGAATATATTTATATGATGTCAATAATGCAGGGTGGTTTCGTCTCGATATTTTTCAAGGACAAGGCACCGTAGATGAGGGAAATGTTAACATGTCGTGCAGAAGCATTTCACTTCGGTTAGGAGAGGATGAATGTACCATTTACTTACAGGGATGCTTTATCAGTGGTACAGATTCAAATGGGATAACCCAAGTTTTAGTCATACTTTAACTGTAGGAATTAAACTTACTCTCGCCTCCCTATAAGGACAAGAATCTGAACAGAAGTCAACACCGATGCAGAAAGATAAGAATCAGATTGGTAGCTTCTCCTGGGCATCCGTTTCTTACGTTTATAAAGTCATTTGTGAAGAACCAAAGAAGAGGCCCAATCACCAAGCTATTAGTGGCCAGTAGTTGACACCAATTTTATAAAGCTAGAGCTAGGGCGTATGTCATTGATTTAATATGTAGGGATGTGAACAGAAGTGAAAACTGAATTACTGCACGTTTAATATTGGGAGAATTTTTACTTAATCACTGTCATTCTGAGAAAATAAGTAAACACAGGATCTTACTAAGAGGATCAAAAATGCCCTTGGATGTAAATCCTTCCCCCTTTACAAGGCAACCCTCAACAGACTTTGTAACTATTCCCGTGACACTGCTAGACATGGTGATTTAGAGGCTACCCTCAAAATGGTGGCGTGAAACTCGCCATCAAAAAGGCACTTCATGAGGAAAAGTACAAAGAGCGGGAGGTGACGGCTACGTAAGAGAAGAAAGCAATATCAAATCATTCTTACTTTAGAAATGATTGGAAATCTTCACACACTGCTTCACAGCCAGGCCACTTGCAGACGCCATGTCCATACAGGGGATGGCTATGGGGATGCTCCTCATGGGACAAACTGAAAGAAAACACACAGAGGACAAGAGAATAAGTTGGCTGCGCAGAACCATCCCGCCAGACGTACGAGGTAAGAGGAGGCAGCCCACGTGGCCGAAGGTGAACCAATCTGTGCTTTCCTCTTCCTGTGGAATTTACGAATTACTTTTGCACGGCGCTCTACTTATAGCAAGAGTTCAATTTCAAAATGCGAACAGCCCAATATTACAAATGTACCACCACGTATGAAAAGTGCTCGACAGGCTTTCGTTAGAGGCAAACCCCTCTACTCCGACTGCAAAGGATTCGTTAAAAGGCTAGAACTTATCATTTAACCTACCTAATGAAAATGATAACATCTGTACTTGATTTTGAGATTCTCTCGCTGTTTTCTACCCAGAATATTACATGTTTTTCTCCCCCTCTTCTGCCACCAACAGTATTCCCAAAATCGTAAAATCTTTTCACTGGTTAAGTTTATCAAGCAAAGAAGAGTGCAATTAAGTAATTTAGAAAAAAATAATTGAGAAAGACAAATGTATCCAAGTAGATGATTAACGTAAAAAAAAAAAAAAAAGCTCATAGTGGCAGGAAGATTCTATCCCTAAAATTACTAACACCAAAGAGTGAAAGAAAACTTGGCATGAACATGAAAGGGTTAATCCTCCTGTGGGGTTCCAATCAATAGGTAATGATTGGGCCACACGGATGCAGGTCATGGGATGCTTTGATCCATGCCATGTGGCACTCAGAAAAGTGTATCTGTTGTACTTGCTGATGAACCATATTCTCAAATATTTTCTCTATTAGATTTCTGCATCCAGACTTCTTTCAGACAAATTATTTTTACAGTCGTTTCCATAACCTTAGACTCTGTCAAATAGAAACATAAAACTGACATTAAGAGTTCCGTTTCGTACTAAAGCACACTGTCTTCAAGGAAAGGGCTATTTTGCAACTTACTCCACTGCCGCTGCCTGACTTTGAACTTCAAGCACACTGAATTATGATTTCACACACACACACACACACACACACACACGAGAGGCCTGTAGTTTATATAACCCCCAGGATGTGTAGTCATATATTTTATCGATTCACATTCGTAGAGCAGACATACACAAATGCCACTTGTCCCTGACTTATAACATAATTAATCCACAGTGAATGTATCATGAACATTTAAACTGAGGGTCATGAATACCAAACACACGTATACACTGAACAACACTTTATCAAAGATCCATAGGTCTCCCTGTGGCTTTTCAATGATTTGCTTGGAAATCTAATAAAATTTGAAAATAATAAGCTAGTTTCCCTGACAATAGAAAACAAAGCTGGGAAACTACAACAAACAAAAAATGCAGAAAACTAACTTAGGAAAGCACTGAAAGGTGCCCCCATGAGAGAAAAGAATAGCACAAGTGAACTAAGGTAGTTACAGTGAGGTTTCCAAAGCCCAATGATACAATGATATTCTCTGAGCAGTTACGAGGGTAAAATTCCACTGGACCGAAGGAAAGAATGACTACCTATCTTTGTTCACCTTCAGAGTCTTTAAAGAATAAAAGAGGTATGATGTGAAAATAGAATTAAAAAAAAGTACTGGCAACATTTAACATCCAAGAATCCTTCAAAGTACCAAGATTCTCAGAATATCTGAGAGGGAAGGATATCATTTAAAAAGAAAACTGTTCCTACCAATATCTTACAAGGAAAAAGAAAAAATATCCAACCATAATAACTCTTCTCTTTACCAATTTTATTAACATTATTTAAAGTATTTTCACAGTCCTAAATGCGTTAGTATATATTTGTTATAAAATCCTTGAAAAATCTTGAAAAGAAATAACTACCCTCAAGTACACACACACACACACACACACACAATTTTTTGACAAATTAGGCATGAAGATTTGCATCCTTTTAAATTTTAGATAATTTTGAAAATACTCTCTCATGTTATCAACTAATCTTCAAAAGCTTCAGTTACTGATGTGTAACAGTCTGTCATATACCCTCTTAGCTCGAGCTATCTGCCAAAATTGATATAACCATTCCTCTATTTTGGACACTGAGATTCCCTTCATGTTTCTAATATTTATGAATAATGTTAGAAATTAACTTTTACCAGGCCAAACATTCCAGTATATAACTGCTTTTTACTAGAAGATATATTCAGAGAAATGGAATCACTCAGTTAAATGAGTACTACGTTTTAAGATTGACCATTTAATACTCCATTAAGTTGCTCTTGAGAAATGCTACCTGCCCAGTACACTCTCAGCCATTATGCCTATTTTGTGTGATTCTTTAGGTTGGAAAAGAGGAGCCTCAACTAGTTAGGATATAAAATTAGCATCATCAGTTAAAAACTGCCAATGGTTATTCTACTGTGCCTTGTGGGTTAAGCCAAGAGGGTTCTGAAAGTAATAGTATGAAAGAATGTACCATGCCTTCACTAGAGGAATGTACAACTAGAAATAAAACTACAGAATTCAGCACGTGTGCCACCTCCACCCTAACCCCCACCCCCCGTTTCTAGGCTGACTTATTTGTCAAGGCTCCTTGGACTGAATAAAAACTACTCTCCTCTAAGAATTTACTTTTGGTTCAACTTAATATCCTTATTTCAAAGAAAAGGACCAATGACCACTCACTAAAGCCTCAGAAGCATCACCAGTCACACCCTGAAGGCTAGAGGAATGCCAACTCCTGGCACACGTACATATTTACATACTCAGTGGACCTCTTGAAAATGTGCCTCTGCGTTAAAACTGTATTTTTTTTTATCATGAAAGCATTATATGTTCTTATTTTTAAAAGTTCACCTCATGCTGTGTTGGCTCAACTTTGCCCCCACCCTCGTCCCACACCTAACGCAACACTACCCTGGCCAACGGTGCGGGCACCCTGGCACATCACCACACTGCACTCTCCTTCTCGTGGGCTCTAGTTTACAAACATGGAAACACGGGATACATACTGCTGTCACTTGCTTTTCATATTTGGACACTTTAAAATATACAACTGTCTGAGATAAAGTGCTTGGCTTTGAAAGGAAGAAGAACAGACTGGCAGTGATGCCCTGGTGGAGTATCTCTGCAAAGATACATAAGATACTCTTAACACTTGTCGCCTCTGGGGCGGGGGACCGGGCACTGCGGTGGGGCGGGGAGCAGAGAAGCGGGATTTTCAGTGTATCATTTTTTTGTGTGTCTTTTGAAGTTTTAATTTTGTGCGTTGTAGGTGTTTTTTGCTGTGCAATTGTTAAATATACGTATACACACACACACACACACACACACACACACACACGCAAACCCATACAGAGACATACACACACATGAAAAAATCAAGTGCTGTGCAGGACTCGACTTCCAGCCTGCCACTCACCCTGATGCTGGTGTAGCAAATGCTGTATACTTGCTGCCTGTGTGGCTGAGTCTCACTTCTGGCCCTTCAGTCATTCCGGATGAAGCATCGTTAGACCCCACCAGCTGTACCCCTGAATGGGAACTTTTCTGTTTCATCAGAGAAGTGGAACAAGCCTTTATACCCTTACTGCCTTTCAGAACTTGCCAAAAGGGACAAGATGGGAAATTAAAAAAAAAAAAAAATGAGTACAGGAATTGTTAAACTTGAATGAATTTAGAATTTCATTTCCAGGATGAAACTTGATGGAAAAATGACCATCTCAACATCTGACGGTCAGATAAAGCCTGTGAGCCCAATCATTTAAATATACTGATTACGGGTAGCTCACCCATGTGAGAAGTATAACTTCTGAAAAGCTGCCAAGATCAGTGCTGAATAAATGCTGAATGAAGTGCTGAATAAATGGATGAATAAATAGATGTATTTGATTTTAAAGGGATTTCAACATGCTTGCCCCAAAATTAAACTTCAAAACTTTAGGGTCAATTGTTCAATAAACTATTTTTTACTATGAACTCCCAGGTTGAAAAGTTTTAGGGACAGGGAATCACAACTAGTTCATCTCTACCCACTCGGTACCTAACACAGAACATGGGCTCAATAAATGCGAGACAGACTCATACAGACAATAATATTATTCTATTTAATGTCTGTGTGGATAGACACTAAATTAATGTTTGCCTTTTAAAAAATGTCTTGAAGGTACAGACCAGAATGACGCCAATCCACTTGAGAAAAGAGCATTCACACCTTCTATTATTTACTTTTAGTCCAAATATTTAAAACGCAGATAGTACACAATCAAGAAAAGCCACATGGTTTAAATTTCTCCTGATGACCCCTGGTATGTAAAAAATCGATATATTTATTAACACGAAACAGTGACAGCATTTCAGGTTAGGAAGAACCAACTTGCCATGAAAAGTGTAACTACACAAAAACAGGTAATAATTCCTGACATTACCTAATACTAAATACACTCTGTATTATTCAGTATGATGTAACGGTGTCACTGACATTTATTTAAGACTTGTTTTGGTATTTATTCTTCCTATATCGAAGTATACCAGCCAGAGACTTAATTTCAACACTGACTTTGGCCTTTGAGAAGATTTTACCTGATGGTTATGGTTCTTCGGCGGTGACTATTCACTACTCCGTTCCCAAGTGCATTACTTAGCCAAAACTTGAACCAGAATCACTGCTAAAACTAAGAACAGCTTCTTACTGCAGCCTGTAGGCTTTAGTGGCCCTGTGCTCTTGGTCCTGTAAGCTGATTTTCCCTGCGGTAGTAACCAAGAGAATCATCTTTGAAGGAGAGGAAAAGCACAGACACCTCAGAGAAAAGGGAACCCTCCTACACCGTTGGGAACGTAGACTGGTGTAGCCACTACGGAAAGCAGTGTGGAGTTTCCTTAAAAAACTAAAAATAGAGTTACATGTGGTCCAGCAACCCCACTCCTGGGCATATATAGCTGAGGGAAACTCTAAGTCAAAAAAATACATGCACCCTAAGAGCCAAGACATCGAAGAAACCTAAGTGTCCATCGACAGATGAGAAGGATAAACTTCTTTCTTGTGTGG